CTCAGGTATAAGTAATCTGAGAAGTGTTTTGCATTTCACATTGTCCATGGGTTTTGTTAATTGTATTTTTTTGTATATCTTTCGTCATGTATGTTCGCGGGGGGGGGGTGAATATGAAAACAAATCGGCACATGTTGCAATATGTTAACAGTTTTGTTCTGTATATTTGTTACAAAAGGTGACGAGACCACACTTGTGGATAATGACGTGGCGTTCGTTACAACGGAAATGGACAATGACGTGGCGTTCGTTACAGCGGAAATGGACAATGACGTGACGTTCGTTACAGCGGAAGTGGTCGATAGTTCAAACAGCAACACAGCAACTACTCGCTACAAATGTTGGTACGTGATGACCGTTATTCTGACATTCTTGGCTTTTGGTTTATTGGCGGTTAGTACTGGCGTAGCCATGTATTGCCTACAGGTATATGGCATCTCCACCACCATTTGCGATATTGAGTCGACAGAATTCCCGAAAGCCGACGAACTGCGAAGTATTGTTGAAGCTATCGAACCTATTATGTCTATACTAATCGTGTTTTGTGTCCTAGTCTTTATGTACGACCCGTCGCTCAGATTAGGGAGGTGTCTATGTGCGGTTTTCTCGAGGCAGCAATTCAGTAAAACTAAAATGGTCATCAAACACTATTGGCTTGGAATCTACGTTGGCATGCTATTCGTTGCCTTCGTCTACCATATTTCGGTGTTCGCATTGAATGTGCATATAAAATGGGAGGGCGCACTTCGCTATTTAACACTTCCATTCGGACTAACAGCGTGGTTCATTTGGATGGTGACGCTAAATGAGCGAGGTGCCTTGACAGTCGTTTCTACAAGTCGTAATCGCCAGTACGAGCTTAGGATGATGGACGATACTTCGCCGCCAATCAACAAAAATACGATATTTCCAGGTTTATCAAAACTCTATAAAAGCGTTTTGGCACTTGCAGGAATTACAAATTTTACGGAATTTCTGATATACACTGTGTACGTGACAGGCTCATTTGCGACAGTATCTACATCAACCAAAAGCAGACTACTGTGGTATTTTGAGTTCATCTGCATGTCAATGACAGCTGGAATGAGGTAGGGAATCATTGTCTTTTCACTACATGTTCTTTTTCATCAAAGTTGTCTGTATAGTTCAAAATTAACAATTTCCAATTTTGGTGAGAAACACAATGTGAGTGTAAATGCATGTCTAATAGTACATCTACATATAGAGATATTTGTTGTCATGACATTAAACTTGATGTATGTCACTGAATAGTTCTCCGCTAAGTAACGGATTTCGGAGCTATTTGTGTTTAAATGGATACCTTATTTAATCACACTATTCATTGTTTGCAAAACACAAACACACTAGAGTCCAATGAGTCACGTGTTAGCTTATCCACGTGTAAATAAGTAATGTATTTGGTAAATTCCTCTCACAACTGAGTTTTTTCGGGACAATTTCATCTCTTAATTATATCGACGACTACCTAATGCGTTAGGTGTTTGATTATTCGTAAATGTGTATCCAAATTATCATTACAGATACAGTTTCTCTAGTTTCTACTTTCAAATGTTGTATCTTGGAGAGAAGAGATTCAAACTTTTGAAAGATCCATGGGATGACATTAAGACCGAACATTCCCCAGTGCCATACGGTGACATCTGACCTACAATAACTTATATTGCAGCAATACAGAGCTAGGAAAATGGCAGCAGAGAAAGACTACATTCAGTCCAATATGCCTACTTTAGGCGTAATCGACGGGAATGAAAAGTAGTGTAATCAAACGAATCATTGATGAATGGTGAAAAATGAAAAACAAAACTAAAGCATCAAAGGAAAACACAAATATTAATAAATAATTCAAAAAGCTGATAATTGTAATTATATAGTGTTTATTATATGTATGTACGTTCCATTGGACACAATGTATGGGTTTTTCACTTGACAAAACCTTCATCAGATGTGATAGTGTATTCGTGAACTGGCAATAAACCATTTGTATTGCATTGTATTAAACCAAAGTGGTATCGAACGATCCACAATCATGACGCCTCCATTAGCAGCTAGCATCTGTATAATAGTATCATTTGGTATAAAAATAGGAACATATGATGCAATCACTTTAATTAGTTGATTTACGATGTTAACCGTGTCGACTCGTAAACACGACCAAAAGGAAGACAAACAAGCGTCAAAATAGAAGAATTGTTGCAAATACTGGGATAAATTAATCATAAATAATTTTTAATTACTTATTATCGTAAACGAAAATGCAATTCACAACATAAATGTTTATAACTTTATTATTTCATTGATATTTTCTTTTTTACTTTAAAACAGAAACATTTAACCAAGCATCGGCATCAAAAAGTATCTTATGACTCTATTATGACTTCATGTATACCATGGCGTCCATATATATATATCTTACCGATTTGACATACTACTTTATAATATTAACATGTATAATGTTATTAATGATTATACCATTATAACTTTGATTTTTGGGATTTGAAAAATCTCTCAATAGTGAAGTGCGAAAGATCATATGATGGTGTCTTTTTCATGGCGAGTTCAGACAAAACTTTACCCACCACTGGTGCCAATTTGAAACCATGACCTGTGAAGAAGATTATAACATTTGGAAAATTTTAGAAATAAGGTTATGATTGCCGAACACAGAAACAAATTATTGAACCTTTCTGACAGATTGCCTATTAATAGTGCTTAGCATGTTAGTACTAAGGCTAAATCAACTCCTAGTAAACAGTATATACGGCTTATCAGTCAATTCAAAGACTAAATGATGTCTACCATTGTAATATATACGGCTTATCAGTCAATTCAAAGACTAAATGATGTCTACCATTGTAATATATACGGCTTATCAGTCAATTCAAAGACTAAATGATGTCTACCATTGTAATATATACGACTTATCAGTCAATTCAAAGACTAAATGATGTCTACCATTGTAA